ACCAGTTATTTAGTATTCGTTCAGAAATTGGGCAACAAATCAGAAATAATTGAAGTCTGGAAAGCTGGGTTTTTTTTTAACCTGATATTTTATGTCATGGCTAAGCCGAGGAACTGTGGAAAAAATAATTTAAGAATGGGTGTGTTAAAAAGACCAGTTTTGAAAGATGAGACGTTTTTCAGATGGGTGGTGGGAAGAGAGATTGGTAGGAAGGCTGTATGTTACACTCTATATAAATCCTGATCTTTCCACGGGTTGGTTTCATCCCACCGGGTCTGGGAAGGGCGCAGGAAGTGGCCCCGCCCAAGTTTATCCTTGAATCAATTAAAATTCATTACTGTAAGCTCCGCTTACTGAGTTGTGGATTGTGCACATTTGGAAGCTGGTATTTTTTTCCTCTCTGAATTGCCTTCTGTTTAGACAGGGTTTAGTAAAGCCAGCAGCTAAACTAAGGCAAATACTACCATTTTTAGAACGTGGAGATGTACAGCTTAATGAATCAAAGTGGGTGACGCAGGCCCCGTAATTCAAACCTTCAAACCTCGCCACAGCAGTGAGACGGCCGGCTCCTCCAAGTCCCGTCCACAGGCCCCCACGCTCAACTGCATCCTTTGCCTCCCAGGTTCAGTACCTCAATTTTATCTTACCCTCACCTGAGGACATTTATTTTTTCATAGCTTTTTAGAGAGGAAAGGGGAGAGAGAGAGAGAGAAGCATTGATGTGAGAGAGAAACATTGATTGGTTGCCTTCTTGCATGTGCCCTGTCCGGGGATTGGACCCACAAGCTGGGTATGTGCCCTGAGGGGGAATTGAACATGCGACCCTTTGGTTGGACAACACTCCAACCAACTGAGCCACTCTGGCCAGGGCCAGTTCCCCCAAATTCAACAGCGTTAGAGTCGCTGCAGAGTCAGTGAGCTGCTGTCATGCCGGATTCTCCCTTGCCGCTTGGAGGCGGGTAAGTGTTTTGTTCCACAGCGGCCATGTCCTTCGGGCATTTGGAGACAGAGTGGACGTGCCCAGGGGCAGCCCACCGTGGGGCCCACAGCCTTTGTGTGTGTGCAGGAAAAGATTCTTCCTGGGAACACAGAGAGACTAAAGGTCCCACCCCAGCCTCCGCCCCACACTTCCTGGACTTCTCAATGGAGGGAGGGCCTGAGACATGGGGGTCTCTTGGGGACACGGTGCCTGTGCAGCCCCTTGTTTCTAAGCCCACTGCCCTTCTCCTAGTTGTGGGGGGAGAGGCTTTCCTGGCTGCTGCAGTCCAGGCAGGCGGAATCAAGGGTTTCAGGATGCGGTACAGCCCATGGGGGGCCCACCGCACCCAGATCCTGGGCCTGCGTGAGGACACACGGAAAGTGGATCAGGGAGAAACCTCAACCTGGTGTCTTTTACAAGGAAGAATCAGGTGGAAGCACCGTGGTATCTTCAACTCGCAGGACCAGCGCTGGAAGGAGCAGAAAGAGCTGGAGTGTGCAGTGTCCCTTGGGAAAGTCCCCAGACCCTGGGCCCTGACAGTCACCGTGGCACCCTGCGGGGCTGGTTTACCTGCGTGTGGCCTTGTTCCCTTCACCGAGTGCTTTCTGAGGTCACTTCTCACTTACCCAGAGCCACTGGCGATCGGCAGGCCAGCACAGTGTGGTTCTTTTTTTAATTGCAGTGGAGCAGGCAGGGCTGGCACAGAACGTGGAGCCCGGGCAGCCCTGCTTGCACAGCGGCGCGGTCTCTCAGGGTGGGATGGATCAGGAGCAGCTCCGACGTCTTCTGCCAAGGCTGCTCACGCCAGTGGAGGGGTCTGGCTTGAGAGGAAGAGTGCGTTGCAGAAGGAGGGATGGATTTGGACCGAGGCATGGCCTCTTCATGGGCCTGCATCTCCCGGGCTGGGCCATCCCATCTGTGGCTCAGTGAATCCTGTGGGGTTTGGGGGACAGTCAGTGAATGGTCATGGCTTGGGGATGGGCAGGGATTGAAGGACTGAATCTGAATATCCCCCTGAGGCCCAAGAGGGGGATGAAATTGCCCGAAGCAGGCTCAGCTGATCTAGGTTTGGAGAGCCCAGAAAATTCCACCCTGTGGGTGCTCCCTCTGGTCGCACCCACCATCATCCTTGGCCTGTGGGGCTAGTGGTGGTACCGGGTGGAGAACCCAGGGCGCCTGGAACCCAGAACACAATTCCTTTTCAATCAGGGCTGTGGGGAAGGGCAGGGAGCAGCCTGCCAGGTTGAAAGAGATTGGAAGGCAGGGCTGGAAGGCTGGAGAGACAAAGGTCCAAAACGAAGCAGGTTGGGGAGCCTTCCGGGACTTAGAGGCAGGAGGGATGTGCCCAGGCCTCGGGTCCTTGCGCTGGAAAGCATCCGTGCACACCTTTTCTCAGCACACACAGGTGCCTGGCCTAGGGCTGGTGGTGGGAGCACTGAGATGCACGAACTCATCTTCGTGTTGAATGAACACATTCTGTGATGGGGAGAGTGTTTCATGAGCCTGCTCTGCCAGGTCACCTTGACAGAGAAGCAGAGGACAGGTGTGCAAGGCTGTACAGTGCAGGGGATGGATCCTATTCTAAGAAAAGGGGTTAATCACAGAGTCCCAGAGGATTCTGGGAGGTTGGAACATTGCCTGTCCTCTAACTGGGAGTCAGCAGCCCCGCAAGGTTTGACTCCTTGTTTCAGAGCATCCAGAGAAGGCAGTTACAGACTCGGGGGCTTCAGAAGCATCGCAGCCAGTGGGATGGCGCCTGCTTTCGGTGTGACCCCGGCCCTCAGACCTCCGATGAGGCGGGTCCCCAGTGGGGAGCCAGGAGCTGGCCTCATCGGTGCCCCATGCCGGCTGAGGCCGAGCTGCTGGTAGAAGGACTTTGCTTCTCAGGCCTGTCACCTGGGGCCTGGAGTGGGGTTCTCCCAGCTCCGTGTGGCTGTGGCCACCTCAGAAACCCTGGGTCCTGCTCGTAGCGCCCAGTTTCAGGGTGAGGTGGAGGAGAGTGTGAAGTGTCTTACCTACTGTTTTTTAGTGTCTGCCCCTCAAGAGACCTGGAGACCTGTTTCTTTCTTAAAACATGAAAGATTCCCGCATAAGGCCTATTCATGTCTTAAATTTATGAGGCTGAGCTGGCACGCCCTACCACATAGTTCGTTTGCCTTGCGGGTATCTGACTGTCCTTTCTGTGTTTCATTTGTTTGGGAGTTGGAGGTGGGTGTTTAGTCCCGAGTCGGCGGGTGGATGTGCTTCTTCGTGACCTCCCACGTTTAATATAACTTCAGGTTGAAACGTTTTGATCCTGGTTGCCGTCGCACCACGTGGTTTGGGGTGATTATTAATTTTTACTGTTTCTGGCCATCATGCAGTTAGTTTGACGCCGGATCTGTCAGGGACCCTCTCCCAGGCCCGCTGCCAGCCCTGGTGCGAGACTGTGCGGAGAACAAGTGAGGTCTGTGTGCCCCGGGCGGCCTTCTGGCAGGCGTATGAGTTCTCTCCTTGGGACCTCTGGCCAGGCCGGGAGGGGCTGCGCTAGCCCTCTGCAGGGCGGAGGAGGAGCCCACTTGACATTCCGTTGTAATTTAGCAGCTGGCTAATGGCCACTTACTGGAAAATGTTACCAGGCCCTGCGGTCAGTGTTGTTAGAAACTGAATGACTCTGGATGTCTCCCCCGGGCCTTTCCCCCTTCCCTTCCAGCAGACGCTGGGAGCTGCAGGAAGGGCCACTGTGTTGCAATCACCACTTCATACTTCCTTTGTATTTTTTGTTGGTTTCAAATTTAAGGATAGTGTGTAGGTAAGTATAAACGTTTCAGAATTAAGCACATTGCTTTGAAGGTATGATAGACTTGTCAGGAGCCCAAGGGATGATGGGATGGGGAGGGTGTCCCTGGGTTATTTTGCAGGGTGGCCCCCGGGGGAGCCTTGAGCCAGCGCCCAGCAGTGTCAGTTTCACGTGTAATTAATCTGACTCACCTGAGCCGAACATCTTTCCATCTCCATGTCTCTACACAAGCAGTGGTTTCAGGTGATGTGAAATCATTCACTTTGCCAAACCTTGGATAGGCCACAGAGATGAAAGAATGTGGACTCTTGAGTCTGCCGAGCTTGGGGTAGAACTGGGGCTTAGCCATTTACTAGCTGTATGACCTCGGACAATTCATGTAACCTCTCTGAGCCTCAGGAGTTTTACCTGTTAACTCCAGGGATGAGGGATGTGTGCTATGGTGTGAGTCAACACGTCTAACACAATGCGGGACCGTGCTACGCACTTTTCCTTGAGAACTTAAAGAGGCAGCAACACAGGACCCCCTTTGTTAGGGTGGAGTGTTGGGAACTGAGGGAATGGTAAAAGGAAGAGCTTATACCCCTCCCCTCCCCTCCCCTCCCCTCCCCCCCCCTCCCCTCCCCTTTTTCTTGACCTGGAGAGACCCTTCCTTTTTCTCGTGTGGGACAGGAAGTTGAAGGTCAGTGTATAGTGTCACCTACGCCGTCAGTGGTGGTGTAACCGTGTGCTGGGGCAGCTGTGCGAGTCCCCTTTACCTGCAGCCCCTCCCTCCCCCGCCAGGCCCGGGCTCTCCTGGCTGGTTTGTGGTCTGATGCTATTGCAGCAAGCATATTGCTTCCGGCTGCATGGGGTGTCTTTCTGGAGGCTTGGTTGTCTTCCAGGGGGACCCCGCTCTGGGAGGGCCGCGTCATTCCATTCCCAGGCCATGTTTTCAGCTACTCCTTCCTACTGGGGCTCTCCACCCTTTCCAAAGTCAATGACATCGTTGTCACCAGCCTCCCACTCAGTGACCACGGCTGCTGCTCCTTTCCCCACACACACATGGAGGCTGCACTTGGGAGACTTGCTACCCGATGGCACCAGAGTCTGGATGTTTGAGGTCTGCTGGGTCCCTGAGACTTTCCTCCCGTGCCCCAGTCTCTGCGGCATCCCGGGGCCCAGCCCGTGGCAGCACTTGGGGAAGCGGGCAGTGCACACTGACGGGGCTGTGGTTTTCTCTCTCCTCCCCTCCCCCTGCAGAGTATAAGAAGAAGTATGGAGAAGAACACGGCTCCTGCCAGGCGGGGATAGCAGGCTTCTTCACCGAGGTGGGTGTCATCCCTACCCTGAGAATATGCCATATGCACCTCTGTTTGCTTCTAGCACTTATTTTTGCAGACACCATGTGGTACAAATGAACTAACTCCATTTTCCTAAATGTACGGTTGCTTGTTCTGATGCTGTGACCTAAACAGTGTTTCCTGTCCCCACCGATTGAAATAGCATCCTGCCAGGTGCCCAGGTTACGCTCTTCTTCCATCCCAGCAAGCGTTTAGACTGTGAAACTTCTTCGTCTGTCCCTCCTCCAGTAAGGTCCAGTGAAATGTGACTCAGCCCAGTAGGCAACAGGGACCCAGTGCAAGTTCACGAGCAGGTGAACATGGGGGATGGCAGTGTGGTAAGAGGCTGCAGGCCAGCTGTGCCCAGGTGTTTGGAAGTGGGAGGGGTCTGGAGGGAGGCCAGGTAGGGGCTGTGATGGGGTCCAGCCCCAAAGCAACAGTGCAGGTTAGACAGACCCTTGAGGAGTGAAAGTGATGCGGGCAGTTGGAGAACAGGGAGGCAGTGTCCTCGGTGGGGGGTCAGCAGAGGACGGTGGGGAAGGAAGGAGGTTTTGAGCCAGGGTTTCGGGAACATGGCGGTGCCGGTGGGAAGGGGGCCCGCCTCCAGAAGACTCACTGGGACAGGTAAACTGAGGGGTCTGCTTTGGACACTCGTCATGTGAGGAGACAGGACACTCAGGGGCGTTTTTAGAGGATGTTTGGAAGTAGGAACTGAAAACCGGGCTGTGCAAGGAACTTCGATTCGGCCAGTGCTAGTAACTCTCTGGGGGGACCGGGCATGCTTAGCACGGAAGCAGAAAGGGGCGTCTGGGAGAGAAAAAGTAGACTCATCACAGAAATGGGAACTCATCAGAGGCGCCGAGGAAGCGCTAAGGGAGAGGAAGAGTCCCTGGGGAGGGGGTGTCACTGTGGTCTCATCAGCTGGAAAGTCAGGGAGGGTGAGGGCATCGGGACTGGGCAGGAGGGCTCGGCAGGGGGAGTGGGAAGGGCAGGGGTGTGGAGGGGAAACCCGGGTGGTTGTGCCAGGTCCAGGTGATGGGAGGGACCAGAGGCCTTGTTGTAACTGCAGCCTCTGGGGTCCAGAGCCAGAAGGAAGCACGGTGGTGCGAACCACAGGGGGCCTCTTTCAGGAAGTGTGGGGCGGGGACGGCAGCAACTGTGGGGGCACAGGCCTTTGACCCAGCCACTCTGTCTCCTGGCCACTCTGGGCCTTGGCCTCTGCTGCAGTTCCCAGGCTTTTGGCCTTTCTGAGCAGAAGGTCTTTGAACTCTCTGCCGCCCTCATTTCTGGAACTTCAGCTGTTGGAGACCAAGCAGGAAATGTGGTTGAAAGGGTCAAACAGCGCTGCTCCCTCCTCTGCCCTCCTGCTGACCCCGTCCCTTGCCGTGATCTGGGCTGTCCCTGCACAGGGCAGGCAGCTGCCGCCTCAGCTGGACGTGCTTCTGTGGCCTCTGGACATGGCCCTGTTTTCCTGATACACTCTGGGCAGGGTGTCCAACCTTTTGGCATCTCTGGGCCACATTGGAAGAAGAGTTGTCTTGGGCCACACATTAAATACATTAGGACACATAATCACACACAAAAAACACCACTCATGTTTTAAGTAAATTTACGATCTTGTGTTGGGCCGTGTTCACAGCCAGCCTGGCTGCATGCGTCCCGTGGGCCATGGGAGTTTAGCCCAAAGTGCCTGCGGGGCCCGGATCTGGGTGACCGGGAGTCATCAAATCTGTGTGAATTTCGGACACTACGAGGGAGCTTTAGCTGGTCATTGGAGATAAGGGGGGCTTCCTGGGAACTTCATTTATTTTTGTAGCTTAAGGTGACAGAGGTGATGGATACTTCTAAGCGGCAAGAAAAGACACGGACCAGCCCTGCGAGCTTCGGGACCCCCCCTCCACCCTGCCCCCCACGCGGAAGCCTGGAGACAGACTTCTGTTGCAGGTCCCCAGCATTCTTCTACCCTCCAGCCCCTGCCGCTTCACAGGGTGTTGGGGGCGGGGGACGCCCGAGGCTTCTCTCGGCACACCCGGGGCCCCCTGTCCCTCCGGAGGGTCTGCTAGTAAAGGTCCCCACTGTTTATGGGTGGTGCTCCGTGCGTTGCTGCAGTTGCTGGTGGCCCTGGCTCCGTGGGGAAGCTTGCATTTCTGTGTGCGACATTTGTGCTGGCCGTTCCCGGGTGCTGGGGAACTGAGCGTGGGTAACACTTTCTGGCACTCGTGGACAGTGTCAAAAGGTACAGGTATCGCCCGCATTGAATGGGAAAAGCCAAACTCGAGGGACTTCTAGAGAGACACTGCTTCCCTGCCCCTGCCAGCACCCCTCCCCGGCCTCAGGGTCTCAGGCTTGGCCTCGGTTTACACAGTTTGAATTGGGGGGCGACGGGGCCTGGGCAGAGGAGGAAAAAAGAAAAGAGCTGTTGGTTTTAAAAGGCTTTAGAAGAAAGGGATTGCCTTGTCTTAGTCTCCCTGTGATGTTTGGGAGAGGACAGGCGGGGATATGTGAAACATGCATTTCTCAACTTTTATCCTGGATTAATCTAAATCCCAAAGCAGCCCGTCCACTTGGTGTGGTAACGCTCAAAGCTTTGGCTTAGAAGGGCGGCAGGTGGAGAAAGCCCGATGCTGTTAGCACGACCGGCCCTGAGGATGCCGAGTGTCCCTTGGTACCCTTTGTACTTGGACACTGACTACAGATTCCTTTTGGAGGTCAAGGCCAAGGAAAGTCCCTTCCGGTGAATGGATCATCTGTCTTTCTCATGCCCCTTTCTTTCACAGGACACGTGAGTGTAAGGGGGAGGCGTGAAGGTGTGAGTGGCTGCACGGCCCTTATGTTTCTGGTGCAGAGGCCCGAGCACAGGCAGTGATTCGTTTTTCTAGAACAGCGGGCTGTCTCTGAGAGTAGGCAGCTCACCATCATTCCTCCAGGGTGGACAGGGTCTCAGAGCCTTCACATGGAGTGTTCACGGTCCGCACTGAATTATTGTCCAGAGCAAACCATCCGGGCAGAGACCTGGAGGCTTCCTTCCATCCGTGCTCACACCCTACACTTCTCGCGCGGGTACCTCCCCAATGGACCTCCGAACACGTGGTGGTCCTGGCTTTATTGCCCTGCTGCTCTCCTGCCCGCACCTTCTAGCTTTGCTCTCTCGTTTTCTCTTCAGACGTTTCTGGTTTCGTCAGACATTTGTTCCCTGGGAATTCTGTGTGGCTTCACTGAATTGTCAACAGAAATTCAGGATTTTTGCGGCAGGCTCTGGCCTCCAGGGGCTCGTCAGAAACCAGCAGCTTCTGGCAGTGGTGAGAGGCCAGCTCTGTGGAGAAGGGGCAGCCTGGACGGACCTTTCTGAAACTCGACTGTGTGGGGACTCGGAAGTCCAAGCGAGACAAGGAAAGGCCACCTGCACAGTGGCCTCGCTCCCACGAGCCCAGATGGCCCGCCTGTTGGGGCTTTCACACAGCTGAGGGATTTCCTCTTGCAATTGTCTTTATTCTGACGCTTTTTGATAGAGTTTTCCCAAGATGTGTTGTACATTTCCGTGTTGGCTTACCTCGGGAATGTCATACAAAGACACTTTGTTATCTGTGTGTCTGGTATAAGCTTCCATACTTACTAGTAGGTCCTTCATTTTGTTGGGTGAAAAGTGAGTGATTTTGTTAGAGAGATAATTTTTGTTATCATTTCTACTCGGCGGTGTAGATACTTGAGAAAATACAGACAGTAAAAAAGAAGGGATTCCCTGCAGGGAAAGGAAGGCGTCAAAGCCTCGGCCAGGGCGCCCGTGGGCACAGGGACGCAGCTGACGCGAGCTCCCCTCGGCCCCTCACAGCCTCCTCCTGATGTGGGCTCCATGTCTGCGCCTGTTCAGAATCTTCCCAGGAACACATGTTGCATTTTCGGAGATGACTTCATTGCCAGTGGTTCGCCATTGTTCTAGAAATTTGAGAAAACCAGAGAAAATAAACTCTAGGCATAAAAATTCCCGAAATCCTATCACCCAGGGGAAAAAAAAATACGCATGTTTTGAGGCTTATCTTTCTGGTCTTTGTCGGTCTGTCTGTGTACATTTCTTTTCTTTTACAAAACCAGTATCGCGGACATTGGACATTGTGTACTGTGGCCTTTTTAACGCAAGAGCCCTTTGTGACTTGGTGCCAGTAGACTGTCGGCAGTATTTTTGCTGCTACAGAATTCCATTCAGCGGAGGTACCGTGACCCTCTGTGGGATGTCTCGGCCATTTCCGACTTCTCTGCCACAGTTAGGCGTCTCCTTGTGGGTAAGGTCATGCAGATACCTGTGCTGCCCTCCTTGGGTGCCTGAATCACTCTGAGCACTAGAATTAGCACCAGGAGGTCCCCGGATGGCTTCGTAGCACAGACTCACTCTCAGGCTTGTTGAGGATGCAGGCCCATCCGCCCCTCCTCGAAATGCCGGAGACAGCTGTGTCTCTGTGTTCCGGGTCTGTTTTCAATAGCAATGCTGTCTCCGGTCCCTTCTCTTCCCAGTCCTTCCCTTAGGGGCCTCTCTGCTCTCTCGATGTTGTTGTTCTGAGCTTGCTGTGGGCAGTCCATCATGGCCAGAAAACCTAGCTTTAGAACCGTTTCTAAGGAGAGAGTCCTGAGTGCGCCCTGGAGGGTTAGTGCATGCTTTTTGCAGAGCTGATTTGGCCCCGTTTTCCTCGAGCACTGTAGCAGGCAGGTGGGGTTGCTGGATCGCGGGGCCGGAGGCCAGGCCGGGCAAGGTGGTGGTGTCTTTTCACGAGCCTGTTTCCCTGGAATTCTGCGATTTAGGACAATGCCAAGTGTTTGCCATGCCCTTGTTTGATCCTGGTGGGAAAGTGAAGCAGCCTCATCTGTAGATAGTGTAGGGACCTGGCATGTGACCTGTGAACTTGCTTAGTTACCTTGGCCTTTATTCTG